CACACACACACACACACACACACACACACACACACACACACACACACACACACATTCATTCAGCACTCTAAATTACATGTATACACTGATGGGACACACATCACAAGCAGAGGGGATTCAGTGTCTTGCCCAGTGACACTTGGACATGTGTCTGAGTAGCAGGGAATCAAACCGCCAACTCCCTGATTAGAGGACAACATCCTTAACCTCTCATCCAGAGCTGCCTCAAGAGGAAGTAAGAATAAGTTTGCAAAAACAAGGTGATTCTCTTCTAAAAATCTTTATTCAAAGATTTGAACTCCAGTCCAGCTCACAGCCTGTCAGACAGGCAGGGCCTTGGGCCTTATCAGAAAAACAAAACKATAACAAACCCTCTCAGCAGCCCAGTTTCTGTCCCAGGCTGAACTCAAACAATAATGATGAATCAACCTCCTAAAGTCACATGTGCATAAAACCTGACCTCTTGGTCACATCCCCTGGGGCCGGTACGTTTTACATCACACATAAAACAAGCTTTGTTTATGTTTCAGAGRGGGACACACTGAWAGASWCTCACTCTGTCTTTCTRTGTTTAAAGTGTATGATTAAAAATACCAGACTGGATCTTAAATTCAGTTAATAAAACACAAAGTTTTCAAGATCTTCCTTTAAAATCTTGGCAATGATTGTTGAAAACWACACTGTTTGTCTGTTAGCAAAATAACTCTTTATGGTTTTAAATGAAACACCAGTTATTGACTGTGCATTTAGAACTGATTAACATTTTGAGTCACCCCAATTCAATTATTTCCTAACTGCTCCCTGGACACCTATAGCTGCCTGCTGCCCCATCATGTGRGACGATTTTAACACAGAGCACAAATTTCATCAAAAAGTAAGAAAACTTGTTTTTGGTGAATTCTTATTTTTTTTGTTGTTACAAAGCTACTTGACAATAAATGTCATTCTGTAAAAAATTTCCTTTTAAATGGTGCCACATTTGTAAGGAGCACACATATGTGGGTCGCACACATGGAAAATTTGCCAAATCTTCCATCAAACAGCTTCTTTTTCTGTTGCTATTGATGCTTGTTTTGAACTTCTGGTAAAAGGTATAAAATGTATTGCTAACWGGCATTTTTARYACAAAGKAATAATCTATCAAACACACATTTCCTTACTTTTTGTGCTACGTTTCCACATTAAAAGGCTCTATCTAAGTAAAAGTTACAGATAATGAGTGAAAGATTTAGATTGAGCTCACACATATTCCAAGTACTAACATTTGAAATCAGATATCAATTATTTTTAAGATTTACCCAAAGTAGCTACATGGTATTTTGGATGTATGGMTTTTTTTCACTGTTGTCTGCACAACAAATTGCACCTTGTGGATAATAGTTTTACTGGACTTGAATTGATAGGTCTATCATTTTTCAACATGATGAGTTTAATCTAAAACACTATATGTATATGTATTCCTTCAAGCAATGCTGCTAAGTCTGTAATTCATCTTCATCACTGTGTGGGAAAAAAAGTCTCTTTAACTGGTTGATAAAAAAAATAAAACATAAACATCCCTCTCCAGAAGCAGAGTGGCTATACCTCAGTGCTGAAGTCCTCTGGATATTGAAACTTCACTCCAGGATCTGTGATGTTAAAACAAAGTGGACGGTTTAGCTCAAAGCATCACTTTATGGTAAAATAGTTACTTATTTTTTCACAAATGAGATTAAAAAGTTACATGTAAGTCGTTTTGAGAAACTAACATTTTTCTCCTCCACTCATTCAGTTCACAAGTGACAAGGAAGGCTGTGTGGTTTTTCTAATCATGTGACAGGAAGGATGAGGGACTCTCAGCTCAGCACAAACACCTTCACACACGCAACTTCTGGCAGCATATATATATTATTTTTTACTTGAAGCTTTAATATTTCATGGCCAGTTTCACTGCTCAGATGTGATTAGTCATGTGCAGACTGTAAACAGTTTATGCAGCACATTGTGAATGWATGGGGTCAGGCAAGGGCATGACAAGAAAAAGGAGGATAAATTCACACAAAACACTTAAACGTCTCATGTCAGTATCCTTTTATTTACATTAAAAATATATTAGATAAAACAGGTTAGGCCCACTTTAAAAAAAACTATTTTTTGCCTTATGCATATTTAAGCAGTTACCAAGCAAAAAACTTCAGATGAAACAGCAGCTGCTACAACCAGCCTACTGAAGCCCACGATTTAATTTTCTAAGCAAGAATGCCCTTATCTTATTTATAATTCTTCTAAAAATGTTGCTGTTTATAAATGTGTCTATGAGTTAGGAGATGCCACTGCAAGGCGTAGATGTCTCTAATTTGGTGCCCTAAAACAACCTCTAATATCTTCAGTAATACTGATAAAGAGAGTCAAACATCCTCTAATAAGGCAGTTTAACAGAGTGAATCCAACTCGGCTCTGTGATACTGTGAAAGTGTTGAAAGGCCTCACCTTTGTCTCTGGCTACAGGACATGTTGCTTCAAAGAACCAGTTGAAAGCTCGTTCAGGGTTTTGTCTGACAGGAAAGACATTTCACACCATTCATATGAGATTACTCTAAGCACAAAGAAACATAGCAGAAAGAAAAAAGTGAGCAAAACTGTCAGACACTTGTCATGACTGAGCCTGATCTGATGAGGACAGAGAAAAACTGATTTCCRAAAGACGGGAAGTACAGACGTCCACCAGACATTTCTACACTGATCATTCCTGTCAGATAAGGCCTCTTTTACTCAGATATGAAAAGAACATGTCTCCAGCTGAGTGTAAACGCAGCAGATTATGGACAGCAGAGTTGCTGCAGGAAACTTCCTGTGCAGCTCGAAGAGGAAGTAATAAAACCACAAGAACTGAGTGACAGGCAAGAGCGGTGATGGAGGACGAAAAAGCTGGTTTTAAATGCACTTACTTCAGTCTAGAGCCCATCCTGTTTGAATGTGACTGTGTCCATGTATTTCTCCAGGAGGAGAGATGTCCTCAGCAGGTTTGTTGGGTGACAGTCATCCCTCTGACAGCTAGAAATGACAGCAGCAGTCTGCTCAATCGGTGCCAAAGTGACTGAACACTTCCTGATCTCTGTCAATATGTTCTTGTCAATGCGTACATGACGTGTGTGATGAGACAACCTCTGACAGCGATGCACACTTCTAAAATTTTGTTCCTTCCCATTTTAGTTGTTCTTCATTCATTTTGAAAACCAGCTCAAATGCAAATATGGCCCAAGTAAAATCAAATGTWATGCATTTCCAGTTTTATTTATGCATCAATTTTTAAAACATTTCTCTTTATAATAAGAACCACTCTAGGACAATGTAGTGAACTAATTACAAAATAATAGCATCAGCTGCAAAATCTAGTAGGACTGGTTTTGTGCAGTGATGCATGCTCGTTAAATGCAAAGCTGGCTTTTCTGCTGCAAGTCTGGTTGTTGTTTAAACAGAATTCAGGCACCGGGCCTCCYGGCTCATGGCTGAAAGAAGCAAATTCCCCACATAACTGAGCTCATTTAACATGCTGCCCTCTTGTGGTGTTAAAGCAAACTGCAGGTCTCCATTTTGCTTTGTTTCATTTTGTCATCCTAGCTGAACGCTGTAACAAAGCTTGTGTAAGAAGTTCTTAAATTAATCACACAGAAAGTAAAGTACGTTTTCCAATAAGTTTTATTTCAGTTAATGAAAATTTGATATGTGATGCAACTGGTCCAGGTATGGAAAGTTATCCAGTGATGGTGATAAAAATGAACCATAAACTACTGACAAAAATACCACAATCACAACTGTGTTAGCTACCTCTACTAAGAAGGTGTTCAGTGTGTGAGTCCTACTCTGGTAGAAAACAAAAGGACAAGAAAATGGGAGAAGCAGAGAGAAAAAGAACTGGGGAAGGACAACATCAACACAAAAAAGAAGAAAATTAGAGAAAGATCAGAGCAGAGCTGAGGAAAATGAATAAATGAGTTTAGATGAGAACAAAAACGTGATGTTAGCCTTAGGCGACTTCCTCCTCGCCTTCCTCCTCAAACTCTCCCTCCTCGGCTGTGGCGTCCTGGTACTGCTGGTACTCGGACACCAGGTCGTTCATGTTGCTCTCCGCCTCMGTGAACTCCATCTCATCCATACCCTCGCCCGTGTACCAGTGGAGGAAGGCCTTGCGGCGGAACATGGCGGTAAACTGCTCAGAGATGCGCTTGAACAGCTCCTGGATAGCTGTGCTGTTTCCGATGAAAGTAGCGGCCATCTTCAGCCCGCGGGGTGGGATGTCGCACACGGCCGTCTTAACGTTGTTGGGGATCCACTCCACGAAGTAGCTGCTGTTTTTGTTCTGCACGTTCAGCATCTGCTCGTCCACCTCCTTCATGGACATGCGGCCGCGGAACACGGCGGCCACCGTCAGGTAGCGGCCGTGGCGRGGGTCGCAAGCCGCCATCATGTTCTTGGCGTCGAACATTTGCTGAGTGAGCTCGGGCACGGAGAGGGCCCTGTACTGCTGGCTGCCTCTGCTGGTGAGCGGCGCGAAGCCGGGCATGAAGAAGTGCAGACGGGGGAAGGGAACCATGTTGACGGCCAGTTTGCGGAGGTCGGCGTTAAGCTGACCGGGGAAGCGCAGGCATGTCGTCACCCCGCTCATGGTGGCAGAGACCAGATGGTTGAGGTCTCCGTAAGTGGGCGTGGTGAGTTTGAGGGTGCGGAAGCAGATGTCGTACAGCGCTTCGTTGTCGATGCAGTAGGTCTCATCTGTGTTCTCAACCAGTTGATGGACAGAGAGGGTGGCATTGTAGGGCTCCACCACTGTGTCTGACACCTGAACAAACACCAAGCAGAGGTCAGAGAAAGGTAAAAGCCAAAGATTTAAAGGGATCTCTGATTAGTTGTAACATTAGACTTTATTTGATAAACATATATTTTAACTGTAAAATAAAGACTGTAAAAATACTGTAGGTTGTTTAGTTTTGGGAATTTTTAAAAACATATTTTAACACGGACAGAGCCATTTTATTTACACACAAAGCATTCTGGGTAAATGATGACGTGGATAGGTCCTCGGTGTGAGCGAGTTATATCCACCCTGAAGGTTAATCTTGGACAATATCTGATGATCGACTCTTTTAAATGAAACCAGAGAGCGTTGACAGAGAGGAGAAGGTAGAAATGACTCAGCCTGGAACTGAAAATATGGATGGAGGACAACAGAGCTGCTTCATGGAAGAAGAACCTCAGCTTAGCCTGTTGGCCTTTGCACTAGCGCAACGCTATATTGCCTTATATGTATTAGCTTGGTGCTAGCGCGACAAACAAGCTAAACTGAGGTCCTTCATCCATATTTTCAGTTGCAGCTGAGTCATTTTTGTGTTCTCCTCTCTGTCATGTGGATGGAGGACCTCAGTGACGAGAGGAGAATGTGTAGCGCTGAGCTAATACATATACATGGTGATAGCATCAGGGCTAACGCTAAAGCTAACAGGCTAAGCTGATGTTCTTCCTTCGAGCTAATGCTAAAGCTAACAGGCTAAGCTGAGGTTCTTCTTCCATGAAGCAGCTCTGTTGTCCTCCATCCATATTTTCAGTTCCAGGCTGAGTCATTTCTACCTTCTCCTCTCTGTCAACGCTCTCTGGTTTCATTTAAAAGAGTCGATCATCAGATATTGTCCAAGATTAACCTTCAGGGTGGATATAGCTCACAAGCAGCCTCYCACCGAGGACCTATCCARGTCATCATTTACCCAGAATGCTTTGTGTMTAAATAAAATGGCTCRGTCCGTGTAATATATTTTTAAACTTTTAGTTTAAAAATGATAAAAACTAAACATCCTACAGTATTTTTAGTCTTTATTTTACAGTTAAAATATGTTTATCAAATAAAGTCCAATGTTACAACTAATCGTGGATCCCTTTGAAACGAACCAAGAAGCAGTGTGACCAGTCAGTGTACCTTAGGAGAGGGCACCACACTGAAGGTGTTCATGATACGATCAGGGTACTCCTCCCTGATCTTGCTGATGAGCAGAGTTCCCATACCAGAGCCGGTACCACCTCCWAGGGAGTGTGTGAGCTGGAAACCCTGAAGGCAGTCACAACTTTCAGCCTCCTTCCTCACAACATCCAGGACTGAGTCTACCAACTCAGCTCCCTCTGTGTAGTGGCCCTTCGCCCAGTTGTTACCTGCTCCACTCTGGCCTGTAATTAAAATGTTAAYGGTCGACCACATGAACAAAAGAATGTCAATATGTTTCTGTTTGCCTAAATAAGTGTATTTTATTAAATACGTGCATCTAATTTTATACCAAAGACAAAGTTGTCTGGTCTGAAGATCTGTCCGAAGGGGCCAGAGCGAACAGAGTCCATTGTGCCCGGCTCCAGATCCACTAGGATGGCCCTCGGCACATACTTCCCACCTGMAACACAAATGCCAAATGTCACTTTTTGTGATTAGGAAAAATAAAACAGATATATCAATCTTACACTGACACAATGTGTGTGTGTTTAAAGTCCAAACCTGAAGCCTCATTGTAATAGACATTGATTCTGTCCAGCTGCAGATCACTGTCACCATGGTAGGTTCCTGTTGGGTCGATGCCATGCTCATCGCTGATCACCTCCCAGAACTACACAGTAGACAGGTCAGTGAGTCAGATTAGACACAACAATAGGAAACAGGAAAATAAAATAAATCATAACTAAATACGTTTACTGTTTCCATTCACAATGATCCGTTTAGCGCTATACAACAAGGAACACCAAATAATAACCTTTTCTAATTATTATAGCCAAATATGATGAAACTTGTTATAGGGTTGGGCATAATCGTATCATGTGCAATTAATTGTCAGAAAAAACATTAATCGATTATCTTTTGGCACTTGACAATTAATACGATTAATGCCACCAGGGAGACTGACTGGGGATGACTCCAGTCAGTCTGCTCGGTGCTRCTCTCTGCTTCAAATATGACCAATTTTTTTAAGTTCTGTAATTTATTTATCTATCCGCACAATTTAAAATTTGATGTACAGCCTGAAGTCTGGAATTTTGACACAGTTTGGAACAGATTTTTATGAAGGGCAAATCTTTCCCACTAAATTGGTCATGTGACCAGACTCCAGGGGATTAATCGTCAAATTAGTCATTATCGGCTAAATACCACAATCTATCGCGATTACAATTTTTTTGCCAATATTGCCCAACCCTAATTTGTTATAAATGTGCCATTCTACATGTCTTCTGGTGTTCCAGTGCATTCGGTGTCTGAGCCACACCCCTTTCAGTGGACACATGCGCAGACACGCGCGCACGCACGATTATCTGTTCATTTATCATTTAACTACCAGGGAAAACATTTARTTATTCTTGATTATTCCCATAAATCGAATCCTATCCTGCAGGCAGCCTCCAGCCCTCGTTCGGCCCGGTTGTGCATGGATCCGGATCGGATCCTTAAGGACCCGAAGTGACAAACAGCAGGGATGTCTCGGCTCGCCACCGCCCATCCTGAGGGATGCTTTATGCTGCTAACGCCACACGTCCCAACCCTCCACACTGACCTACTTATACCTGTGCGCAGTGTGGTCTTCACCAGCCGTCACTCCACAACATGTTACAGCTTATGGTTACACAACACTGGACACAACAAGGACATAAACGCTCACAGGTGACCTTTTTTTTTTTTTAAATAGTCTACCTTCGCTCCAATCTGGTTCCCGCACTGCCCGGCCTGGAGATGCACAATCTCGCGCATGTTGTCACTGCTGTGTGGGTAGTCTGCTGCTGCTGGAGAAACGGAGAAGGTTGTGGAGGAAACCGGTTCCGGTTCTAACTGGTTTCTGTTCGGTCCTGGCCCTGCCGGTTCAAGCGACAGTCTGATAGAATGGCGGACGACCTGTGGCTGTGTTTAAATCTCTCTTTCTCTCTCTCTCTCTCTCTCTCTCTGTCTGCGGCTGCGCCGTCTCTACCCTTGCTGCAGCATTACGTCATCTCCATGGCAACGGAAACCGGGCACAACCAGAACAATTGGCCTGTCCGGGCTAGTTGGCTGGAAGAGACAAACACATCCATTCATTCATTCATTCTTTCGTTTGTTCATTATGGGAATGACCTGACTGTGTGCAAAAAAAAAAAAAAAAAAAGGCTGTAAAATGACGAAATGATTTTCCTAATGAAGCTCAGCCACGCCTTCCAGAGAAAGTCTGCACTCTTTAACCCCCCCGACACACACACACACACACACACACACACACACGTTCTAGTACAGCTTTATCTTTATGGGGACATTGCATTGACTTGCATAAATTTCTACAGCTAAAAACTGACCCCTTCCCCTAAGAACCCTAAATCTAACCTAAACTCAGTTCACACTGCACCTAACCTCTGACCCACAAATGGCATTTCCCCTCAAGTAGGTGTGTGGCCTGTCCCCACATGCGGCAAATACCCGCTTGCACACACTCCCTGTACACCGCTCCACGTTGCCCAAATTTCTAAAGAAAATTCAAGAGATATTTATTGCGCACATGCTTTGCATTGACTCTGAAGAATCTGCATTTTTATTTTATTTTATTATGTGGTAAAGCAGCTTGTGGGTTTGTTTGTACCGTTGCCCGTAGAGACAGGATGTTTTAAAACAGAGGCTGGAAGGAAATGAAGCAAAGAGCTGAGAATGATGGTCATGCATGTTTTTTCATGAAGCAGCCAGTCAGTTTTCCAAAAATAACCCAGATAAACAGTCAAAGAGGTAAAATCTCACTGACTAAAGGTGTCATACAACAAACTGGAGGACTGTTATCTTTCTCAGACCTTAGTTTCACCCTTAATGGCCTTCTGTTATGTCAACAACCTGCACTGATCAATAGGCCTACTTGCAATGAGTAGCCAGAAAAACCAAAAAATCAGCKTGTGGGAATTTGTTGATTGACTTTTTTAAACATTTTATGGTATTTTCTGTTTTATTGTCAAAGAAGTAAATCAAATTCCTGCCAATAATCCATGACAGCATAGAAAATTAAAGGCCCACAGCATTACTTGAAGGAAGGCATTATCACCTGCTGCCTTTCACGATAGTTTTAGTACAAAATGGCTGCACAGCCACATCTTGCAAGATGTGTCAAAGTGGACATATTAAGATTTTACATCCTTTCTTTTCACATTTAAATCATACTGGGGTCTATATGAAGTAGAACTGCAAAGCTTTGGTCTGAATTCTCCTTATTTACTCCATAATTTACTTTGTTGCAATACTTAAGCATTTTTTGGAGGATTTGTATTTTTACAATATTTTTATAATTCAGCGCTTCATTTCTTAGAGTGTGTGTAAAATTACTTTTACTTTTACTTGTACTTTCCCAATTATTATGAGTAGTTTTTGTGGTGTGGTGGCAAGTAAAAGGTTTTATTAAAGTAAAAGGTCGACGTGGCGGCAAAAAGAAAGAACTAAACATGAGACACAGGAGAAAACCAGGGCTGAACCAAACAATGGACCAACGAGGACGTGGTGAAAAAAGACTGGTTAAGCTTAGAGCAGGGTTGAGTGGAAAATGGAAACAGGTGTGTAATTACTGAGTATGCACAGGTGTGAGAGACTGACCAAAAGAAGACTGAGCTGACTGGGGAAAAGAAGAAGATGAAAATACAGAGGAAAACCATCGGAGGGAGACAGAAACAAGAAACAGACTATGACAGTTTTACGACTTTAACTCATTACTTTTCTCATCAGTGAACTTTTTTTACCAAAGTTTACAATTTTCTGTTGGAGTATTTTCGTTTTACTTAGTTATTTCTTTCAAGTACTTTATACTTTATACACCTCTGTCAACAAACCCCTCCTTCACCTCTGTTCTGAGCAAGTAGGGGTCTCTGTGGACGGGTGCGGACGAGTGGGCGTGTCACAAGGAAAGGCGATTCTAAAGTGACACACCTGATTTGACGGACTTTGTTAAAGGGACACACCTGATTTGACGGACTTTGTTAAAGGGACACACCTGATTTGACGGACTTTGTTAAAGGGACACACCTGACTGGACAAGCAAAAAGGGGGCGATACCGTACGGCACCACCTCATTGGGCAAGAACAAAAGGGGCGTTACTGTACTCCACTTTTTCTGGAGAACCCTACTTGGGTCACATTTCTCCTGGTTAACCTTAGTGTTGGGGTCAGGATCAGACTGTAAAGAGATCGAGCAGGATCTAAGGATACCGTCATGTGAGAAGGGGTTATCTGTGGAATCAAAGTGGGTGTGTCACAAGAGTGGGTGTGTCAAAAGCATAAACACTGTGGGCTATGAGGCCTACATGACYGTATCTTTAGACCCTGCTTGACKCTAATATATCMTATACTGCTGTCTTGTCTGCTTCTTGATAACTGCTGCCTGATCATTGGTCACTAATGCAGCATCTTTGTGTTCTTCAAAGCACAGTAAAACAGCCATCAGGTCATGGGACTGTATGTTTTTATTGAGCAGACATGTCAGTGACTGTGGTATGGTATTTGCTGCTCAATGTGTGCGTACATCACACTATGCCCCCCACCAGGTCACAGAGAAGTTCATTCCATCCCATTCGGCCATTTTTGTAGTTTGATATCTGAGATACATTTGTACCGCAGTTTTTTTGTTTGTTTGTTTGTTTGTTTGTTTGTTTGTTTGTTTGTTTGTTTGTTTGTTTGTTTGTTTGTTTTTACAAATTGATTAAATGATGTCAACAACAAAAAAACTTTGTCCATCCAAACTTACATGTTTGAGCCAGAGTCTGACCCAGAGTGAAAGGAGAATGAAGATGATGAACCTGCAGAACCGCAGATTTGGTTAGCTGTAAGTCCATGACCTTGTTTTGCGGTTTCGCAGCAAATGCTGTGATTTAATAGTTCAGAAAACATAGTAGAGAATATATAAAACTGAACAGACTGAAAAAATATTATCTAGAATATAAAMGTTTTTACTCAGCACTGGGAGAAACTAATTTCAACTTTTCTGCACCGGGGGAGTGTTGGAAACAGATTCTTAAAGAGACAGAGGCCAATTTCAAGGCGTTTAGATAGTCTGTCATGCAAAGTCAAATTACTTTTTGAGGAATCGTTCTATCRAATGCCAAAGCTGACAGTTTGATWCCACTGCTKTTCAGTCACATGTTGAAGTGTCCTTTGGCAAGGCACTGAACTTATTAGTCTCTATAAATTGATTTATCTGTATTAGCTTAGAGAGAACTAGCGGAGCGTTGAATGAATATGTGTGTGGATGGGTACATGAGGGCACAGATTTTAATGTAAAGTGCTTTGAGTATCCTGATTGGATAGAAAGGCTCTACATACAGTAAGTACAGTCCATTTATCTATAGCATTTTCATAACAACTGAAGGTAGTTTCTTTGATTGTGGTATATACTGTATTTCATCTATGTGTCTGGAAAATACATAATACCTCCACTTAAGGGCTACAAAAGTGGAATTTGCATAAAACCTAAGAGCATGAGTTGAAAAGGGCTCTCAGTTACTGCATAAACTTCATCTCATGATCTGTAATTCTGAGTATTTCAAAGTCATCTTTGTGATGACAAATGTGTATTAGCTGTGACAGCCATGTTGACTTGAGTTTCCTTCTAATGTCAATCAGTACAGGTACATCCAATGATTTTTGGAATGTTTTCATAAAACCTGTTCTAATGGGTCATGAGATATTCTAATAACAGGAAGGCAATGTTGACTGAAGAAAATTTTGCCAAAGAACTGAGCAAATACGTTGTGCGATGGATGGTGCTCAGAATATTTAACGAGGATAACTTTCAGCTGAACTACCACACCAAATCTGAGGTCAAATTCTGTCCACTTGGCAGAATTATAATCAGTTTTGGGTTTGATGATGTCGTTTAGCAGTGGCAGCCATGTTGAATGTTGAATCGACTTCAAATGTTATTTAGTCATAGATGTTCATCCAGTGATTACTTTCAATTAGTTTCAAAGTAGAAGATACTTTGCTAATGGTACAAAAAATGAATACATGCACACACACACACACACACAACATACACAGACAAACATAAAGACACAGTTAAAAACAATATGTTGGAAACATTTCCTCTTTAAAAAAAAAAAAGAAGCAAATAGTGATTACTGGAAGTATTAATGTTCCTGTGGCCAGGAATGACCTCTTGTTTAGTTTGAGAAAAAGAACAGGACGTTATGCTTTTTTGATCTGTTTTTATGGTTAGGTTCACAGTGTAAACTAACAGCAGCCAACAATTTGACAAAATAGGTGAGTATTTTCTGTTGCAGAAAATATTTCTATAAAATGTTTCATCCTAACAATTTTAAGGGAAAGGGCCTGTAAAATCCTGTAATAACATGTGCTATCCACAGGGAGGCGATAGATATCTTTCATTTAGCTYGATCCTTCTTTTATACTGAACTCCATGAAAGGAATATGGTCTTCATGTTTACGTTAATTTTGTGAAGGTTTTAATCTTTCATTTGACATTTTTCAATGTATTCAGTATAAAATATTAAAATTTATTTCCAAAAATACTAGGATTTTGCAGGACTCTGAATGTGCAAAATGAGACGTGGCACAATTACAGACCAACACACAACAAGCCCAGCCAACCGCCTAATTGAGGGGTATCATGCTAATTATCACCAAGGATTATAGTGTCCCTCAAATAAAGGCCAGCTGTAATTAACTTCAACATCATGTGTTTAACTTTGACTAAGAAACATCATGTTTCTCTTCTCATTGCTACTGCTAAACACTGTTAACAAAACAATATCTAAGCTCTAAGTGGTATTTCGTACATTGTAACAGTGTTTTAACATGTCTTCTTATGAACACTAAAAAGTACTATGTGTGCGACTGACTAAATGTGAAATAAATATTACAGAAATACTATTAAAAGTAAAWGTAAGAGTTTTGCTTGCTGTTGAGTTGCACTGTAATCCCAGACAGTTGTAC